TAATTCCTGATAAAGAATGCAAAACCATCAATATAAACAGTCTGCTTACTAGCAACCGTGCTTCAGTCTCTCTTAAGGGATGGCACAAGTCGGTTAATCGAATAGAAATCCAGCGCCCAGCTGGTATGACTCTGGCATGGTGCTGGTTTCAATTTAAATCCAGCACTATTCTAGAGTCACACCAGCTGGTGCTGGATTTCTGATTAATTAACCGACTTTTGCCATTCGGGGTTCTTATCGTTTTCATCCAAAAAAGATTAAAATTTAGGAAAATTAAAAAATCTATCAAGGTGGTTCAAAAGCTAACCTTTCCACTCTCATAAAGATTCAATTTTAATCAATTATCAATGTCTTACCATTTTTAAACTCCAGTCTTCACGTCATCACTCAAGAATTCAACCGACATTGCTGCAAATTAGTATAAAATTTCAAACATAAGCCATCCTTATTGATTCCGATCATAATTTATTAATCAATTAATAACTTTTTTTGGTATACTCGGAAAGAAGGCAGAATTCATAAGCCAAAAAAAAATACAGTTCAATATTCAATATCCAATCCTGCATTACTGATATTCCAATGTTATAATATGTTCTCCAAAAAAATCAATTAATTGATCATGTAAAGCATTTATATCATCAAGATTACTTTAATTGTTAAAACAAGCGAAGCTTAAGAAACAGACAAAAAAAAATCGAAGATTCTTCAAAAAATGTGAAACGAGAAGAAAGTTTTCAATTGAATTTCGATAAAATCTCTTTAAAAAATAACAATAATCTTGAATAAATTATTGCGTTGATGTTTTCTGAACGCTGATAATTTATTATTTATTAAAATTAATTCACTTTTCGTCCATAAACACATCCATAAAAATTGACTCGATTTCACTTAATTAATCGTTCTTTAAACTCGCAATAACTGCACTCAATTTTCGTAATAACATAATTCATGAAATATCAAGCTATGATCTTGAAATTTCAGAGCTTCTGGTTTGAAAACGATGGTATGCTTTAAAATTGACACGTCTTGCAAAATGCTTGACAGATTTTTCGTTGAAAATCGATTTAGACTTTGAGGGATTGATCACGAAAATTAATGATTTTGGATTTTTGAAAGAAATAAGCTGCGAATTAAAAAGTTCTTTTGGGGTTTTTTTGTGTATGTTAATTTCATTTTTATGGCAAAAATCAGAAAAATGAAGCTGGTTATGAACGTAGTCAGGGTTCTCTATTTTGAGTCTGACCCGAATGTCACAAGTCGAATAATTGATAATTAATCCGGCGCTAAGTCGGTGTGATTCTGGCATGGCGCTGGATTTAAATCGAAGCCAGAACCATGCCAGAGTCATGCTGGCTTGACGTCAATATTAGTGATATTTTACGTGCCTGCTCAATAGCTTGACACTCTCTTTTTATATATTTAGCTACAAAATTAAGCTAGCCAAACTGTATATTATTCTCAAATTAATAATTTCCTCTTCATTCCAGGTTGACTATTTGGACAAAATCAACAACTTTGGTGCACCTAACCAGTGTACCATAGAATTCAATTCTAGCAACTTAATTAAATCAACATAAATCAAGGTGAGTCCAACAATCATTTAAGTTGCTCTTGAAACAATTTTTTTACTGCAGTCATCAAAATGAAAGGAAATTCATGCATTAAAAAATTCATCAATGCAAAACAGATCCTCAATTTTCTACGCACATCATGAATTATTCAGTCATAACATGAACTATCAATTTCCTACAAGAAATAAAGTAATTTATCCAAAATAAAGTAATTCAATCGAGACACGTAGAGCATGTGAAATACACAAAGCATAACACACGAAAAAAAAATTATAAACGGTACTCAAAAAAAATCTGAATTAAATACATCTCATCAGCTCTTCCTTATTTGTACAGTTCATTTTAAAATTTTGCAGACATCAGTTACTGAATTGAAGTTAAGAACTCATTTAATAATAGCATATTGATGCATTATAAACTACTTCCATATCTTTACAATTCAAATTTTTAATTCCAAAATCTACAAAAAAAATAAAAAATAAAAATTTATAAAGAACAAAAGGGGTTAGTGATAAATGACGTCAATAAAAATAAATGGGATTTTTAGACTGTCTGGTTTCTCAGTTTTCTGACTTAAGCTCTTACCTTAGGGACCTTAGCAATAAGCTCAAAAAATAGTGGCATTCTTACTGCTATGCATTCTTCTATCGCTGGCTACTGTTTGACAATTACCCATACCAAGTGCAATACTGTCTCTATCAACAGCTTCTTTCCAAGAGTTCTTGGGACGCTCGCGTGATCTTTTGCCATCTCCAAAAACATTCTTAAAGACTTTATTAATGTGAGCTTCAACAAGTCTCCTAATGACCAGCCCAACGGAGCCTGTTGACTTTGATTCGTCGTACGATATCAGCTTCATTGAAAAGCTAATATAATTCTGCATTGCTCCTGCTTTTGAAAAAGTCACCTTCTCTTTTCGGTCCAAATATAATTCGCAGGAACCTTCGCTCAAATTGCGTTCTCATCTGCGATAGTCATATTCCATGACTCAGAACCGTACAACACTACTGGGCATATTAGCGTCTTGTACGTCACTAGTTTGGCATTTCTCGCAATTCTAGGTCATACCTTTTGCATGCAACCAGTTCCTTCTCTAAAGAACAACATGTATGTGCAAAGAAATGTCTGAAGAGTCAGACAGCTTCAAGATCTTCAATAAAAATTTTAAACATCATTGATGAACAACTCTCAGAAAAAAGAAACACAAAAAAGAATCAAGAATTCAAAAATTTATCTTTTGTGATTCTTTACAAAAGGAGTCATACTCAATCAATTCTCTGCTGAAGTTTAATAGCTTAAAGGGTTCATTATTAATGATATGCAATTTTATTGTTAATTCTTATTATTGTCGAAACAAAAACTTGAATAATATCCGATGATGCAAGTCGAGGGCTCAAATAAAATCATCTGCAAATCTTTATTGTTTTCTGTCTTGACTTGTGGCATTCTTTTAAGTCTTTTCAATCCGATGAAATTGAAGATGAAACAAAAATTAAAAAGTATTCAATAGCACCCACGCCTCATCATGTCAAAAAATATTGTTAACTGAATATTCAAAAAAGTTCATTTCTGTTGGTTGTGGCGCACGGTGCCTGCACGAAATGTAATTAATTGTCTCTCTGAGACGTTCTACTTCTCTCCGTGTCCCTCGTGCCACTCATTTGCCATTTTAATGATTATCATAAAACATCTGTAACGTTTAAATTTTTTTTCTTCTTCTTTTCCTTCTTGATGTCGTTTTTTTTGTGAACTCAACTTCATGCCACAAAGATCCAAAGTCAAGTAACAGTGTCTGGGCAAAATTTCTCAATGAGATAAATGAGATTCAGCATTGCTATCATTTCGACTTCAATCTGTAGTTTGTTTTGTGGAAATTATTTTGAGTGTGCTTTACTACAGCTGGAGATTGGCGACTGGGATTGGTTTTGGGGCTATATTATCAGTCGTTGTCTAGACTCACGAGATGATGTAAAGCTTAGAATTAAGTTAGATGAGAAAATTGACCTTTTGTTTCACTAATCAAGAAATGAGAAGCTTTAAAGTTCAAAATTTGTCTAGATCCTTTAAATGTAGCATATCCATCGACATGAACTTCCTCAAAATGCCATCCAATCCATCTCAACTCGTCTCGTCCATTCCTTTTAAAATAACTGAATGAATTGTGATGCATTTACAATGATTTTTTTTGGTTAAGCAATAACATAATGGAATCAGGTTCAATTTCTGTTTTTTTTTCGATTTCATGAGACATGGGAGGATGATGATGGAAGAGAAATTCATTTCTTGAATTGCTTGAGGCCCTCGTAAAAATGTATCTCTCAATACGATTCTCTTGTTTCATTCCTTTCTTTTTCTTTTCTACTCGTTTATGTCTTGATGCCTTTCTTCTCTTAATATGCGAACCATAAAATTCATTACATTTCACTTGATATATATAAGTTTTTTTTTTTGTACATTCTATATGAGGCAATGAATTTGTCTTGACTCATATAAATGCGTATGTCTCATTATCATCTTACACATTTTGAGGAAATATTTCATGTGCCTTCGTTTTTTGAAGGGGAGTCATTTGGTTGTGATGTCTAATGTTTTTGAATATGAGAGACTTTTTTAAGATTGACAAATAGATTTTAAAGCTACAAATCCATTTCATCCTCACTGAAGCTTACGACAAAACTGTTTTGAACTTCAATCACAGTTGGGGGCTGTTCACTTATGACGTCTATCGATAAACCAAATTTTTAAACCCCCTCCACCCCCTTCCAAGGGTGTGATAATGCTGAAATGATCAAAATTGATCAAAATGTAATTCTTGAGTTCCACACTCTTGCCCCCCTCTGTCACAGATGTTTATTAACCCCCCCCCCCCCTGTGACGTCCAATGCAAGACACAAATAAATTATAATTTTCCGAATAAAAAATTAGATGTCACAAATTTCCTGACCTCCCCTTCCCCCCTAAATGTTGGACGTCATAAGAGAATTTGATAACAGTTCTTAAAGAATTTAAAATATCATAGTTAATTTACATTATTTTCACACGACCCCATGCTGGTGTGATGAATTTGCGATGACCTTTCTACACCCCAAACAATGATGATTGATTAAAATATTTTGAAGAATTCTTGTTTGAATGAAAAGTCCATTTAGATTGAAATAATCCGAAAGTTGATATGGAAAAATGCAAATTAAGTCTATGGGCGAAATGAAAGAATTTCGAGTGTTAAATTTATGCGGGTTTTCAGATCAAAACGTGCTTGATGGTTTTTTGAGAGGAATTCAAAATTTAAATACATTGTTGTGGATAATTTGACTATGGTTAATAATTTAAAATTGCTTCCTCAAAAATATAATTGTTGAAGTCTGATTCTTAATCATTTTTGACGAAATTGTTGTCCAATATTTAGAGACATTCAATACTTTTTAAAAAATGAACAAAGTTCAGCATACTGTAACTTGTATTTTAATTTTCTTATCGATATTCCCTAAAACCTGCATTTCAAAGGTAATCTTGGATTTTTATTAAATTTCATGCAATTTGAATTCAATGATTTTAGTTAAAACTTCACTTCTACAAAATCGAGTGTGCGCAAAAAAATGAGTCAGAATATCTTGAAAATATTGTTTGTAAATTAAGTAAGAACAAAGTTGGAGACAACGCATTAAGTGTCTATGCAGATATAGCTAAAAACATAAATTATGTCGACCTTAACTTTGGAATTCTCCACAAATCATCAAACAAATTGATGATCAACACAAGTTTTGAGTACTGCAGCTCATATAACAATATGAATCCATTCGTAAAAGCTATCTTGTCATTCGTGAATAATTTTGAAAAGGATTTATTTCATGAATGTCCATATTTACCTAAAAAGAAAATGGGAATTGAAAACTTTCCATTTGAAACGATGCTTCCGATGCTATCGATCGCAAATTTTCAACGTGGTGACTACAAAATGTGGACATATTTAAGGGACAAAAGTAATAAATTAATAAATTATATGATTTTTTTATTTTCCATTTCACCTGAAAAAAATAATAAAATGAATAAAAATGTGTAAACGAGTTCATTTCAAACTGATTACTTTATATACTATAGGTCCTCGATTTGAGTAGATTCGATTTGAATAGATTCGATTTGAATAGGATTTTTCTGGAGCAAAACACCTACTCAAATCGAGGACCCCCAGTACATAAATTTGGTTCCAAGGCCTTCGGTCGATTCAAGCTAGGCTCTAGCGAAACATCTAGTGGTGTGTTTCCGAATAGCACAAAAAGATAAAGCATTGAGAGGGCCCAGCCTTTTGAGCTTGAGGCACTGTGATTCAAATTAGAATAGAATCTATGGAACCACATCCTTTAGACCTACAGTTTATAGTAGAATCCAAACCACTTGCAAGCTCTGCACATTGCAAAGACATGAGTACATCTAAAGACCTGATGTATCCTGCAATGTATGTAGTCACAATTCGTGTACGCAAGATGCTGTAATGAAATCATTTAGATGCTAGTGTATCCTAGAATACCTAACAAAGGAGGCACGTTATGTGCCGAAGACCTCAAAACTACACCCAACTCCCGAACCGAGCTTCGTAAAAAGAACGGTGAAATGGAAAAAGAGCTTCTCAATCTTGACTTGGCATGGAATAACACAATTCAGTTGATCAAATAGAAAACTAGCATGACTCTCAAATCAAATGCAGCAACATGGTTGAATTACACCTTTTTGACGCCGAATTTCTATCTGATTACTCGGCTTAAGTTATTCGAGATAGTTTGAAAACCATTTCTCTAGACTAACATAGAAGCTTCACTCAACAGTCAATTTCTATTTCTGAGTTTCAACTAAACACAGGATTGGGGGCCGTTCATTTATGATGTCCGACATTGATGGGGGGAGGGGGATCTAGGATTTTGTGACAGTTCAAACAATGGAAATTTTTTTCATTAGAATTTTTGTGACAGAGGGGGGAAGAGGGGGTCTAAAAATCTGGTTTTTTGATGGACGTCATAAGTGAACGACCCCTTGGTGGTTTTTAAACAATTTTAAACCCACTTTAGTTATAATTTAACATTGGTCAATTATAGTTGTCATCAATTTTATCTAAATTGCAGCCTAATTGCAATGATTTGTATAAAAAGATTGTGTCGAAATCAGAAATATTATTCAAAAATCACCAAAAATGAACAAACTTCAGTTTGAAATAGTTTTTGCTCTATTTTTCTTTGGAATTTTACCTAAAACATGCTACACTAAGGTAAATTAAAGATTTCACATTATAACTCAAATTTATTTTAAAAATTTAACACAATAATTCTAGTTAAAGCTTCATTTCTACAAAGTCGAGTGTCCACCACAAAATAAAACAGAATATCTTGAAAATATTGTTTGTAAATTAAGTAAGATCAAAGACGGAGAGAATGTGCTAACTCTTCATGTAGATGTAGTAAGGAACATTAATTATTTTGACTTTAATTTTGGAATTCTCCACAAATCATCAAATAAGTTAATGATCAACACAACTTTTGAGTACTGCAGTTCATATAACAACTTGAATCCATTCATAAAAGCTATGTTTACTTTCGTAAATACGATTGAAAAGGATTTATTTCATGAATGTCCATATTTACCAATGAAAAAAATGGGAGTAGAAAATCTACCGTTTGATGGATTTGTTCCTTTGTTATCGATTGCAAACTTTCAACGTGGTGATTATAAAATTTGGGTGACAGTCAGAGATAGAAATGACAAATTAATTAATTTTATAAATATTTTGACGTCTGTTTCACCTGAAAAAAATAAGAAAATTAATAAAAACGTGTAATCCTGTTGTAGTTCAGTCTATATTAAACTAGTCGGGATAAGTTTAATGTCAAACCATTTCACTTCAGGCAAAGGTGCGTTACTGATAAATTTTATTTTTATAATTTTTGATCATTTTTGAACATTTCATCAGTCCCGCTTCCTTAACTTTAGGATCAACTCTACAACTTTTTTGCTACAAATTGTCAGCAACTTTAAAATAAATTCTGAGTGAACAAAAAGGTCGTTTATAACAAATTTTAAGGAGACATGTGCAACAGTAATTAATGATTATCAATAATAATCAATGCTGTATTTATATAAAAATTCAACGAATATTATTTTCTGCATATTAGTTGCATGTCAGCAATGAACATTTTTGTGTGTTTAAAAATATTTTTATTTTCTCAATTTTTTGTTGAAGGTTCTTGCGAAGTAACTTGAAGAATTGCAAATATTTTATAAAATTGAAATTAAAGCAAAACTTTTTTCAGCTTAACGTTCGAGTTTATAATTTGGAATGTATTTAAGATAACGAAACGTATGCAGGGAAAAACATAAATTGCAAAGTTAACCAACTTAAAAATGGCATGTATACAGTTACAATGTTTGGAGACTTAATAGTTGAGCTTAACTACATGCTGATGAATTTCTATTTGATTCATAAAACATCACACAGAACACTTGTCAATGTTACTATGGAATATTGTAGTGTTTATGGAAACTTCCCGTTAATTGTTCGCGTTGCAATTGAATTTACTAAAAAATTCACAAATGACATGATTCATGCTTGTCCTTATGCTCCAAGAAAGAAACTTGGAGTTGAAAGTTTTCCAACAAATGAGCTAGCAAACAAAGCTTTAAATGTTTTTTCTGATCGTATTAATATTGAGCGTGGTGACTACTTTTCTGCTTTTAGCGTTAAGGATAGAAAAGGAATAATAATATTTAATTTCAAAGGTTTAGTGACTGTTTCTCAAAAGCGAATGATTCAAAGACAATCGAAAAGAGTTTAAGCCAACTCTAATCAAGCTGATGTCTCTAATTCGTTTGAGAAACATTGATCTAAGGAGGTTCTGATAGGTTCTCATATAGCAACTCTCATTGTCATTATTGCGTGATAATCATAAGTGGAATCAATAAATTATTATCATTTTTTTGAAGTTCAAAAGAACAGGTGCAGTTTTTTTTTATTCCCTTAATTACTTAAATGTGTCCAAAAACTATTAAACTGTTTTAAAAATAAACTGTAAATTCAATAGCAATGTCATTTCAATTAAAATGTTGGACTAGTTTGAACAAAATGGAAGCTTTTAAGATAATATTCCTAATTTTTGCTGTTGGTTGGTTTCAAGAATGCTTTTCAGAGGTGAATATTCCATATTTTACTGAAACTAGAGTCACATGGGCGTATCCAAAAAAATAAATTCAATTCCTTCAAAAATTGAATTGAATTTTTAAAAAAATGTCTCATAAAAATACAATTTTTTGATATGCTCTTGCAAACCTCGTCTCAAGCAGCACACTTTCCTGATATTTAAAACATAATTAGTTAACAGCTCGCCTATTTAAAGTGGAATGTGTCAAAGATAATGAAACTGAATATATGAAAAATATCGAATGTAAAATAAATCGAATCAAAAATGGAATTTACACAGTTTCAATTTATGGTGACTTAGTAGCTGAGTTAGACTACATCCTAGCAAGTTTTGAAGCTGTTCATAAAAACTCTCAAAAAGTTTTGGTCAACTTAACTGGAGAGTATTGCAGCTTTTATGGACATCTTTTTCCGGTGGTTCAAATTGTTGTTGATTGGATGAACAAGTTTCAGGATAATTTATTTCACAAATGTCCTTATAGTCCTGAAAATCGATTAGGAATGGTGAATTTTCCTGGCAATCAAGTCGCCAATAAGCTTATAAATTTTTTTCCTGACTATTTCAAAGTTGGACGTGGTGAATATAGTGGAACTTATAAAAGTAGAGATAAAAATGGAAAAACTATATTTGGATTTAAAGGATTTTTGTCTGTGTCACAGAAAAAGTCGAACAGAAAATTGTAATGTTTTGAGATGCATGGACAGTTATGATTTATGGAAAATGCAATTAAGACAGAACTAGCAATTCAGAGTAAACTTAACTAGCCTATCGTGCGCTGGTCAGTCGTGGGATTTTGAGTAGTTTTGATTGTAAGGATAGAAATAGGAAATGTATTATTTTTAATTCAAAAACTTATGCAACGGTTTTGCAAAGAAGATAGAAAAATATTGGATAAATTTGTGGCCCAAAGAAGTAAAATAAATAATAAGTGATCAAATCTAAATAAATGATATTTCATGGATTAGTAAAATTTGCTCATTATTAGATGAACTATAAACTTCGACAAAGCATGAAAAATTCTTATTTCTTAATTTTTATGGCATTTTGGATTCACATTTCCAACTGTGAGGTATTAGTACAGATTCAATATAATTATCAAATCAATAATTAATAACGAAAATTTTAGCTTAGAGTTCGCACCTACAAACTAGAATGTAGTAAAAATAATGAAACAAAATATGTGGAAAATTTTGTATGCGAAGTAATTAGGCTTAAAAATGGATCTTATGGTGTCTCAATTCATACTGATTTGATTTTACGATTTGACTACTTAAATACAAACTTCATTCTAATCCATAAACAATCTCAAAAGATTTTAATAAATATAACTGGAGAGTACTGTGAAAAATATGGAAACTTTAAGCCACTTTTTCGGATAACACTTGAATATATCAAAAAATATGTAAAAGGTCTTATTCATCCCTGTCCATATCTCCCACAAAAGCAAATTGGAGTTAAAAGTTATCCAATGGATGATGTTTTAAATGAGGTTTTAAAAATATTTCCTGATGCGGTGAAGATTGATCGTGGTGACTATATTGCGACTTTTACTTGTAACGATAGAAAAGGAAAAGTTATGTTTTATTTTAAAGTTTTTGTTACTGTGTCTCAAAGAAGATCTAGAAAAAATTGAAAAATTAATATTGTTTTAATTTTGAATGACTATAAGCTTTTTGAAAGACCCACTAGCTATCCTTCTGAAAAAAGTTAAAATAGTGATTTAAAATTGCAGCTTAAATAATTATTTTCAATTATATAACGCATGTCAATAAGTTTAATGTCAAAAGATTATAAAAATAGAAACAATAAAAGTTCAATTTTGATTGCATAAATTCTTCACGTTTGCAACTGAATTGTACTCTGATAAAATCCAGTTTAGTAAACAGTTTTGTTCAATATAGTCACAAAATTCTCTAATTTATTGTCTGTTGCAAAATTCAAATTTCTTTAAACTTATCTTAATGCTTTAAACTTCGACATTTTATTGACAATAATGAAAAAATTTACGATTTTTCTGTCAATTTTTTGGACATTTCTGTCATTAGGACGTGCAGTTCAGGTATCAAACCCAATCTTTTGTCAATATCCTGACATAATTCAACCAATTCATAGCTTAATGTCCATGTCAGCAAATTTGAATGCATGAATGAGAATGAAACATATTTAGGAGAGAATATCGTGTGTACTATTGTACATCTTCAAGATGGAACCTATGGGGCAACATTATATGGAGATTTGACAGTCACTGTGGATTATTTGCATACCAATACTTACGTCATTCATAAAGCATCCCAAAAAGTTATTATAAATATTACAGTGGAGTACTGTAGTATGTTTGGGAACTTTGCACCTCTTATAGCTGTTGCATTTGAATGGGTTAAAAGTTTTACAAATAATGTGATTCATGCCTGTCCATACAAACCAGTGAAGCACTTTGGACTTGAAAAAATTCCTCTGAATAAGCTGCTTAATCAAGCTTTAGACATGTTTCCAGGCGCTATCAAAATTGATCGTGGTGAATATTTAGGAATGGTAACTGTAAGAGATAGGCAGGGGCGTATAGTGTTTTATGTCAAAACTGTGGCTACCGTATCTTTAAAAAGAGGAGGAAGGAAGAGTGGTTAATTTTTATCATTGAGATCACATGAAGTTAATACCAATTATAATTTATATTTTTTAAAATTGTTTAAAAAATATTAGAAAATAACGTGTGGCTTTAAACTACAGATAGTTGCGATTTGGTAAACGATGGAATGAAATATAAATTTTTTGTAGACTAAAACATGAAGTTTTTATTATTTTTTCTGTATGTATACATCTTTTTGGTCTATAGAAGTACTGCTCAGGTAATACAAGCAATTATTTTATTTCATGCTTCACAAAAATTTCATTTTTTTGTAGCTTTCCGCACATTTTCAAAGAATCGATTGCATAAAAGAAAATGAAACGATTTATTTGAAAAATATTGTTTGTAAACTTCACAAAATTTCAAGAGGATCGACTGGATCAACAGTCTATGTAGACGTTCAGCATCCAATTAATTATGTCAACATAAATTTTCAATTGACTCACACAACATCAAATAGACTTTTATTCAACATTTCATTCGAGTACTGCAGTCTTTATAAGAATATTCCACCATTTGTCAACATTATATTTGATGCTATAAAAGAAAATTCAAATAATTTAGTCCATGCATGTCCATATGGACCTCAAAAAAAGTTGGGTGTTGAGAATTTTCCATCGAGTGAGTTAACAGGAATGCTTGTTGAAAAATTTCAAGCTATTGTAAAAGTTTATCCTGGTGAATATTTTAGTGCAACTTACTGTACTGATAAGAAAGGACGGCTGATATTTTATTTCAAGTGTGTGGTTGTTATGTCTCCAAAAAGGAAGCAAAAGCAGGGTTAAGTGACTGATGGTAAATTTAAATCCGATAACAAGAGGTTGTTCCTTAATGCTTTTAAATTTCTAGAATTTGTAGCAATTCTCAATTTTTTATCTAGCTTCTGGTGTCTAAAACTCATAATATGTCTCCAACAATCACGATAATGTCTCAAATTGTTAATTATTCTGTTTTGTATATATTTCAAATTTTGCAAAAAAAAATAATCTCAATCTGATAAACATGAAATTGGCAGCTATTTTCAGTAATTTAGTATTAGTCACATTTTTTTTTGGATATTATTAACATCTAGTTGTGCTTAGTCAAGTTAGAAATTTCAAAATAATATTCATGAAAACATTCAAATAAGGAATGAAATAAAAATGAAGTTTCTAGTTCTTTCATTAATTTTCCTAATTTCATTGTTTTTTGAATGCTCAGCTGAGGTTTGGCAATTTTTCTCAAAATGGATCTCATTACTAAAATAATTTCAAATTTCAGTTTAACTTGCGCTTCTATAAAATCGACTGCGTTAAAGAAAATGAGACAATTTACATGAAAAACATCGTCTGTAACCTACACAAAATAGACAAAGGATCCAATGGAGTAACAATCCATGTTGATCTTCAAATTCCAATTAATAACATTCTTATAAACTTCCAATTGGTTCACAAAACATCAGACAGACTTTTGTTAAACATTACATTCGATTATTGCTCAATCTACAACAATTTACCACCTTTTTTGAACAAAATCATTGATTCCTTAAAAGAATTTTCTAGCAATTTGATACACGCATGTCCATATCAACCACAGAATGAACTTGGAGTCAAAAACTTCCCAGCAAGTCAAATTGGCACTGATTTAGTGAATAAATTTCAAGCAGTATTGATAACACGTCAAGGAGAATATTCAAGTGCAACGTATCTTCATGATAAGAAAGGAAGGCTGATTTTCTACTTTAAATGTATTGTTACTACTACTCCTAAAAGGGGACAGAAGAAGGGATGAAATTTCATGACAGAATGTTTTAAATTATTTTAATCTTTTTCGTCACGCTTGAATGAGGGTTTTTTAGGTCTATTCAGAGCTCGGGTTTTTTCAAGTCGACTCAACTTTTCACGAGTCGACTTCATGTTTTTCGACTTCTTCATTCAAAAAAATTTACCGAGTTGATTCCAAGAAATTGAAGTTGACTCGAGAAAAGTTGAGTCGACTCGGTTTTGAATCGAGTCAAGTCAACTCGAACTCTATCGACTTCAAGCTCTGAGTCTATTAAATAAATATTGGTTTGGTTTTGTTCAAAAACAAATCTTTACAATTAATTTTAATTTAAATTTCTCCTCTTCCTCTCAAAGTGCTTGAAAACATCGCTGATTAGCTAGTTATTAAAGCTAGTTCAAGCTATTTTTAAACTTATAAATTACACCAAAATGATTTTCAAAGTATTCAGCAGCTTTATTTTTAGATCAAAACAAAAAACTAATTGCTTAAAAGGTCTATTTATGTTTTTTGAATAGATTGTCATAGACAAAACATTAAATTACTATTTTATTGTTCAAAAGTTTATAATCTAAACAATGTTTAGTAAATAAACAATTCTTCATAGTTTAAAATGTTAAAAAAATCTTATTTTTATTTTATTTTATCATCAATTTTAATGAATTATATAATTGAATGCCACAGTCAGGTATAATCTTGAGATATCGACTAGTTTTGTTATAAAAAAATAATTTTGAATTTTAATCAATTTTAGTTAAACATGCGATTCTACAAAATCGAGTGCTCGTCAGACAATGAAACCAAATATCTCGAAAATATTGATTGCAAAATTCACAGTAATAAAATAGGTTCAATGTTTTTTTCGGGAGTTGCAGATCTGGTTGTTCCTATTTCTTCAATCAACATAAACTTCATGGTCATTTATAGATCGTTAAACAAAACTATGATGAATATCACATTTGATTACTGTGGTTCTTATAATAACCTTCCACCTTACATTCACATAATTTTTAATATTTATAAGAAATATTCAAACAATTTAATCCATGAATGTCCATACGCACCGAAAAAGCGAATAGGCCTAGAAAATTTACCACTTGATGTCTTATCAAAAGTTTTTGCTGTTGTAAATTTTCAAAGGGGTGACTACAAAGCAGTAATTGATGTTCGGGATGATAATGAAAACTTAATAATTCATGTTGATAACTACTTAACAGTTTCTCAGAAGAAGACTCCAAAACAGGGATGAATTCACAAAATGATCATTAAACCTACTCTTTGAGAGTATTTCCCGAATGGCACAAGTCGGTTAATCGATTAGAAATCCGGCACAAAGCCGTTGTGAATCTGGCATGGTGCTGGATTTAAATCGAAGCAAGCACCATGCGAGAGTCATGTCGGCTTGTTGCTGGATTTGATTAACCGACTTGTGCTATTCGGGATTGTTTTAAGCAATCATTTGAGGTTGTCAAGGAGAGCTAGGTTTTAAATTCACTAAACTTAATGACCTTATTTAGAATTAGTAGCTCAACTTTCATAATTTTTGAGAATTTCTGAACACACCCTTTAATAGCGTCCACATGCTTCATATTATTCACAATTTTATTTAATTGTTATGCGAAATTGTATCAAATAATATCTAATTTGATCAAAATATATATTTTTAGATCAGAATTAAGGAGAAATAATTGGAAAATAAACAAAAAAAAATTACTTCAATTATCAAATTTCACTAGTCATGATAGCTTTAGTTTTAAAAATTATTCAATATCATCAACAATGTTTAAGGATTCGTTCCTTGTTTTAATATTTTCATTAATTTTATTGACTAATCTGTTTGGCAGATGCTACAGTCAGGTATGGTACTTCAATTAATTCTGACTCTGATTTATCAAATGTTAATTTTAGTTCAACATGCGCTTCTACAAAATCGAATGTCCAGCCGACAATGACACTCAATATCTCGAAAAGATAAGTTGCAAATTAAGCAGCCAAAAACAAGGAACAGCAAGTTTATCGGCAGTTGCAGACTTGATTCTACCTGTTACTTCAGTTAACATAAACTTCTTGATCATTTACAGATCATTAAACAAAATCATGCTGAATGTAACATTCGATTACTGCAGTTCTTACAATAACCTGCCACCTTACATTCGCATAATATTCGACATGTATAAAAAGCATTCAAATGATTTAATTCATGAATGTCCATACGAAACAAAAAAGCGAATTGGCATAGAAAATTTTCCACTTGAAGTACACACAGCTGTACTTGCTGTTGTTAATTTTCAACGTGGTGACTACAAATCTATTCTAGATATTCGTGATAGAAAAGGAAACTTGATTGTTTATTTTAATTGTTATTTGTCGGTGTCTCAAAGAAAAAATCCTAGAAATGGAAGAAAATCTAAGAAGTAAGGTGCTTTTTTAAAAATTGGGTTAAGTTCAGCTCTTTAGACTTCCGTTTCTTTGATCTTCAACCACTTATCATTCAAACACATCAACTCTTCTGTATGCGTGACGTGATACATTTCAGGTCCATTCTCACAATACAACATAAAAGGGTAATCTTGTATGTCTCGTTCATATTTCTCCCGCTACACTTTAAGTTCCTTTAGGTTCCGTTTCTTAATCCAACGTTGCCTAAATGCCCATTTATGACTTGATCTCGTACATTAAGCAGTCAAAGTATCTAAACTTCTGAAAAAGAACAAATTTGAAAATGGCTGGATTCGAACCGACGACTTTCGAATTACCATACCAAATTTGAGTCAAACCTATTCGACCAGCAAGGCACGTAACTGCTTAAACATCTAATTTTGCTGATTGGAAATAAATAGATATTTTTTGAAATTTAAACTAGAATGAAATAATTGCTGAATTAAAATTGATACTCACTCTAATTTTCAGATTATTTATCATTCCGACTTTTTAAATGCTTTGTTTTAGTTTTGCTGATTTTAAGTCTTTCTATTCAAATAAATCACACAAACTTATTAATGTAAAAATGTTAAAAAATTTATTAAATAGTTTAATTTTATCTTCAATTCTATTCAGTCTTTTAATTGACAAATCTTACAGTCAGGTACAAAAAAACACTTCAAAACATAAATTCAATCTTAAATTCATCAAATATCCATTTTAGCTAAGCATGCGATGCTACAAAGTAGAATGTCCAACAGAGAATGAAACTGAATATCTTAGAAACATTAATTGTAAAATAAGTAGCAACAAACAAGGCTCAACTCTTTATACAGGACTTGCGGACTTGATCATTCCTGCAACTTCAGTTTCCATTTCCATTTTGATGACTCATAGAACATTAAACAAAGTTATTTTTAATACAACATTTGACTTCTGCAACTCCTTTAAAAGTATTCCACCTTATGTTCGTATTATTTTTGACCTAGCTTTGACTTATTCAAAGGATTTGATTCATGAATGTCCATACAAACCGACTAAGCGTCTTGGATTAGAGAACATGCCATTTGACATTTTTATGGCTTTATTTTCTGTTGCTAATTTTCAACGTGGTGACTACAAATCAGTTATTGATCTACGAGATAAAAAAGGAAAATTGATTTCATATTTCAATTTTTATTGGGTTGTGTCTCAAAAGAAGAGTCCGAGAATTGGATGAGAGGAACAAAGTGGATCTTTAAAAGATTCATAGACTTGTCAATCAATTGGAGACATAAATTAGTCTAAAATAAATTTGAGTGCACAAAATAAACGAACAATTTTTAAAGCGTATAAATTATTTTATGATTAGGCTGTAAAAAAATCTATTAAGGCAGATGGTCATGCTTGGTTTTTTAGAGGACAGTTGTCTATTTTTTTCATTTTTCAAAAACAAAATAGTTTTGTTTTGTTCTAATTCGTTCAGAAAATGAATAAAATTGGTAGACACGTGGGATGTCCTCTATTTTACTCTCAGGTCCTCTATTTTTCCAAAAATATCTGGGCTCGTTAACTAATGGCCGCTCTAGCCCCATTTAAATACATTATTTTATTTAAAATGTTAGAAAATCTCAAATTCTTGTAAAAAAAGCGAAAGAAGTGAGTGACAAGCCCGAATAGCACCAACAACAACAACAACTGGTTTAACGTCGACGTCAAGGCACCATCAAGTAGAAAAAATCATGTCACACCGAAATTTTACCGTGAAGGCGACCCTAAGGTGTCTACATGCTCGATTTCGCCCCATTATTTCATTTTTCAAATGTTGCGCTACTCGAGAAGCACCAATTAAAATATTTCATAGCATTTTTAAAAAAAAAAACTCAAAATTGCCTTAAATTTGATAGCTTTGTTGTCAATTAAATAATTTTATCAAATTCATCACATCATGTTAGTCTTAATTATCAACCACGAGGACAGTTGTAAAGATTCATTACAGTTTGGTTTAAAATGTCTCAAAGTTCATCAATTGTAAATTTATCTTTTATTTTCTTAACAATTCTTTATTGCCAAGAGTCAGTTTGTCAGGTAAATTGGCACTTTTAAAACCAAACTTTATTGGAAACCACAAATTTTTTATTATCAAACTTGTAGCTCACAATGCTCATCTATAAAATTGAATGTCCAAAAGATAGTGAATCAACTTACGTAAAAAATGCAGTTTGTGGAATCCAAACTATGAAAAATGGAACATATGCAATCAATGCATATCTAGATCTGGTGCGTCCAATGAACTACGTCAATATATCCCTAACTGTCACATTTCGTTCCTCCAACAAAGTAATATTCGATACAAATTTCGAGTACTGCAGTTCTTATGGACATCTCCCGCCATTTGTTGGTGCTGTGTTTGCAATTGTTGAAAGAAATACCAAAAATGTTATACATCCGTGTCCTTATCATCCAACAAACAAAGTTGGTGCTGAACATTTTATACTTGATTCAAATTCACCTATTCTGTCGGTTGTCAATTTTCAACGTGGAGATTATAAGGCTCTGTTTTTCATGCGAGATAAGAAGCATAATTTGATATTTTATTTGCATTGCTACATATCGATTAATCAGAAAAAAGCACAGAAGAGTAGTAAAAATAATGGATAAATTTGTTTGTAGAAATTCTTATTTAATTTTTATTATTTTTTTTCTCGTTCTCTTTGATGGATATGGTTGAAGAAATCAGATAATAGAAACCGCACATGTGTCAATATGAATTATTGGAATTTAATAATTTCAAATTCTGAATTTTGGTTTTTTTTAAAAAAATAATTTTTTAATGTTTCTTATTTGTCAGAACCAGCAACGATGAACTTTTTATCTGAATCTTTTAAATTTGCTTCTATTTGTTCGTTATTAAGTCATGAGAGCTTTGGAATAATGGTACGAATAATACTATTTTGCTTAATGTAATACACATCTTGAAGTTGAATTAATTTGAGCATCTCTTAAAAAAATAAAATTTTACAGCTGAATAAAAGATTTTACAAAATTGGGTGTCCTAAAAATCATGAAAGTAACTACACCAAAAATTTCGTATGTCAAATTAACGGCAATAAGAATGGTTCATTCAGCATCACAGCATATGCTGATCTAGTCAGTCGTCTTAATTTTATTGACTTCAACTTTATTCTTCTTCATAAGACATCTAATAATGTTGTGTTTAACACAAGTTTTGAATATTGTAGCTCAAATGGAAATATTCATCCGTTCCTGCTATTTTTTTTGAATTTGATGAAAATAATTTCCAACAATTTAGTTCATTCATGTCCTTATAATCCAGAAAAAAAGATTGGCTTTGAAAAATGGTACTTTGAAGGAAATGGTCCACCAGTTCCGCTTATTCAACAACGAAAAGGTGATTATAAAGCATCAATTAGTAGCAAAGATAAAGAAGGCAAACTTATCTTTTATGCGCATCTTTATTGTTTGTTTACTGAAAAGAAGAAGAAAAAAAGTTAAATAAATCATTTTTAAAATGTTAAGTCAAAAAAATCGATGGTAGAAAATTTAAAAGTTGTTCCAAAAATCCTCATTGCATTCCAAAAGTCATCAGCTCCAAACAAAATTCTAAAAATCCCCTGGAGCTAATTAATATCCGGATTCAAGCTAATTGCTGTAATTTGATACCAGAAAACTCAAATAATTTTAAAACAAATTTATATTTTATAAACTACCAAGATATAAAGTGTATTGTTTGAGTTTAATTTAATTTTTTATGTCGAATATAAAGCATTTATTAAAATCTATGACATTTCTTTTAGTTTATGCACTTTTATGGCTTCAAATTTTTGGATCTATGGTAAGAAAAAAACCAAATTTTGAAATTTGATGCTTTTCAATTCCGAATGGCACAAGTCGATTAAACTATCAAAAATCCGGCACCAAGTCATTGTGACTATCGGATTTCTGAACGTTTAACCTACTTGTGCCATTCGAGAATGCTCAACACAGCCAACTTACACTAAATCTATTTTTAAATTAATGTACTTTAATTTTAAAAAGCTCAATAAGCGTTTTTACAAAATGGAATGCCCAAACAATAACGAAAGTGAATACACAAAGAATTTTGTATGCCAAATTCATCGACATCAAAATGGTTCAACAAGCATCACAGCATATGCTGATCTGATTCGACCTTTAAACTTTATTAAGTTTAATTACATTTTTTTTCACAAAACTTCAAACAAAGCAATTTTTAATGTAACTTTCGAGTATTGCAGTTCATTTGGAAATGCTCATCCATTTGTTCAATATGTCCTGGATTCTATTAAAAAGCTATCAAATGGTTTGATCCATCCATGTCCTTATGTACCAACTGTGAGAATCGGTATTGATCAATGGACATTCAATAATAATTCAATGCAACTTATACAGCAGAAAAAGGGTGATTATAAAATAACAATTCATTGTAAAGACAGACAAGGAAAGCTAATATTTTATGTTTATTTGCATTGCTTATTTACAACAAAAAAGGGTAGAAAAAATTAAGGATTAGATTTTGGTTGCTTCCGCTTTAAAAGAAGTAATAAAGATTCATGAAAAACTGTAACAAATAATGTCAATCCACAATAAAGAACTTTTGTTTTCTGTCTCTATCTGTACTGAAGGCGCTCAGTTCAAAGCCTTAAAAAAATATTCAAATAATCTCATTTATCGAGTTCCTTATGTTTTTCAAAAGAGAATTGGACTAAAAAGTGGCTATTCTATGCAAACATCCCGATTTACATTTAATTTACCCCAGATTTTTCGGTACCCCCCCCCCCCCCCTCTTTATTTACCACCATTGATTCAGCATGCATTGATTCAGCATCAAATAGGTGACTACAATATAATTTTTGACTGCAGAGATAGGAAGATAGGAATAGAAAACTGATATTCTGTGTTCATACGCATGCTTGGGTTGCTCAGAAGAAGAAGCCAAAAAACCACAGAAGTGGCTGAAAAGTTTGAACTGATGAAAATTACCGATTGTTTCACATGAAAAGTTTTGAATTATTTGAAAGTTCTCAAGATTTTCTGATAATTTTAAATTATTTTAATTAAAGCGCCTCATGTCTATAATTGATGTACTTATTATAATAAATTAAATTTTTGGGTGATTTTATTGCATATCGGTTGTTATTCACCAATTTTTGATCGTCTGCTACAGGTTTTAGCCATGCCAATTCTTTATATAATTGCAATATCAACTATATTCATATCTATGCATCATAGTTTGTGGGTTGATTCAAGTGAGGTAAATAAAAAATTCATTAGAGACCGTTTGCTTATAATGTCTAGAGAGCGGGGGTAAAAAGATAAGAACGATAAAAATTCCTAGAAATCCAATGTTTTTTATTAAAAAATTACCGTTAATTTCAGACGTCATAAGTGAACGACCCTTTAATTACATTTAGGAATATTAATTTAAACAATTTTGCAAAGGTTAATGTACGCATCTACAGAATTGAATGTCCAAAAGATAGTGACACTGACTATTTAGATAATATAGTTTGTAACATATTCAATGACAAAAATGGAACTTATTTTATCAATACTTATGCCGACCTAATCATCAAAGTGAATTATGTTGATTTTAGCTACATCTTAATTCATAGAACATCCAATGCTGTAATGTTTAACACTTCTTTTGAGTACTGCAGTTCTCTGAGAAGCGCACCAGCTTTTCTTCAATTTGTCTTGAATGAATTCAAAAAGCATTCAAATAATTTAATTCATGCATGTCCTTACATACCTGTAAAGAAAATTGGACTTCTTGGAATGTCATTTGCGTCCAATATTCCCCTTTTGTCAATATTCAGGAGCTACAAAGGCGATTACAAATCAACATTTCAATTAAAGGATAATGATGGGAAACTTATTGTGTTTGTAAGGACATACTTTAGTGTCGTGCAAGCAAAATTTCATGAAAAGAGAAGAAATAGAAGCAGGAACTTAAAAGTTTAAAATATTCGGACATTTAGCATTGAAATTTAAAATTACTAAATGACTTTATTCTTATCACAATAATTAGTGTTCTGAAAAAACTTTATTTTTAAATGTATGCAATAAAAATATTAAAATTAAAATTTTGGAAGCCTTTTACCTGCAATTCAATTCAAAAGCAGACTCTATTTAGTCAAAATGAAAATATTTCAAACAGTAAAAATTATTGTTTTAATTTTAAAAACAATTTTAATTGAAAATAGTTCTTGTAAGGTTCGTAAGATGCTCAAATCTCACTACAAATTCTTATTACTATTTCTGTAACTAATTGCAGATTTATGATCATTTTTATAAAGTTGACTGTCCAAAAAACAGTGAATCTGATTATATGAAAAACTTTGTGTGCTTAATAAGCAACAACAACAAATCCTATACTCTTACAGCATACGGTGATCTCATTGTTCCATTGACTTATGTTGACTTCAATCTTAAAATGGTTTCTCGATCGACAAACAAAGTTTTACTTAATTTAACAGTTGAATTTTGTAGTTCCTTTGGAAGTTTTCCACCTTACATGACATTTTTATTTGATAGTTTGAAAAAATATTCAAATGATTTTATTCATGCATGTCCTTATCGACCAACTAAGGAGATAGGAATTCATGGATATCCATTTGATAAAAATCTCATTTCTTCAGCACTTGTTAATTTCCCACGTGGTGATTATCTTACAATCTATAATTGTAAAGATAAGAACGGAAAATTAATTTTTTATATCAAAACTTTTTCGACAATTTCAAACAAACGAGTTTCGAGGAAGGGATGAGGCTTTATGCTTATGCAGTATATTTATGATATTATCACAAACTTCACTAAACTTAATAATAAAGTAAATTTGTTTACATTCAATAACCTTATGGATATTGAAGCATAAAATTGTTCAATTTTGTCAATTTTTAAATCATCTAAAAATACAAACGCACGCACAAAATTTTACAACAAATCAAAAATAATTTTTTAGACATTTAGTCGAATAGTTTAGCTTCAATTAAAGCAAAATGAAAATCTTTCTATTTTGGAATTTTATTTTTCTAGCTTTTATTTTCAATATCTACAATTGTCAGGTGCTTATCTAGTTAAATTTACAGCTCATAAAAAAATAATAAATAAATTAAAATTTTATAGAATCAACTGAACCTTTACAAAATTGAGTGTGCAAAAGATAATGAAACTGAATATTTAAGGAACATCAAATGTGAACTGAATAGAAATGGAAAGGGATCAATTTTTGCATCAGGACATGCTGACTTGTTGATTCCAGTCACTTATGCATTTTTTCATTATAATGTGACTTACACATCGACTGGCAAGACTATTGTAAATTATAGCTTTGAATATTGCAGTTCCATCAAAAATATTCCACCGCTAGCTAATATTTTACTAGAATTAATTAAAAGATATTCAAATGATTTATTTCATGAGTGTCCATATCCACCAACTAAACGTATGGGAGTTGAAAGCTTTCCAGTTGATTCGTTGTCAGTTTTTTTATCCGCTTTTAATCATCAGCGTGGTGACTATAAAACTATTGCTCAAGTTCATGACAAAAATAGGAAATTAATTTTTTATGTCATTTTTTACACAAATGTGTCAGCAAAGAGGCAAAAGAAAGCCAAAAGTGGGTAAAATAAAAGAAACAAAATTGAATTTTTCGATGTAAATCTTAATTCTTAATTCTTAAATATCATGCTCGAAGCTTTGTTAAATTGAAAATTTGATATAATTGGAAACAAAATTTTTAAAAATATTAATACAAAATTTCTTCGACTTCGAGCTCTGACACATACTCGCGATGATACCAGAAACAGGAAGTGACAAGAAATTTTAACGTTCAATGTCAGTTAATTTATGAGCAAATTATTAAGCTCACAACTTTACTTGCAACAAATACATTCAAAGTTAATTTTAAACACACCAATTTGCAAAAATATTTTTACAAAGTTCTTGTCAATTTTGCACAATTTTTAAAAGAGTTTACTTACAAGTTGCAATTTAAGCGAATCAGAAATGAAAACTATTTTTTACTTTGATTTAAAATTCTTCATTTTATTGGTTTTTATTTATTATTTTGTCTCAAATGTTCAGTATTGTGAATGCGCAGGACAGGTTGGTAGTTTGAGATGATAACATTTTAGACTGATTTCTTGTAGGGTTGGCTTTTTTTGCTTATATAGCCCGATCGGCAGTGTGAGAGAAGTACAAATGGATAATGTCGAATGGACTTCTGAAACTTTACCAATTTTACGAGAGTATTTTCTCTCTAGGAATGCTCTCGGTAAAGTTTCAGATGTCCATTCGACATTATCCATTTGTACTTTTCTCACACAGATCGGCACACATTGAAATGTCTGCAACCAGGGAACTGGGTGGATAGTATAATTAGAACCAAGCAGTAGCCGTTTGGAAGCAACTTCCAACTAGATGCCAAGTGGTTGCCATGTGGCTACCGCTTGGTTCTAATTAAACTATCAATCCAGCTGCCGGGTTGCAAACATTTAAATGAATTTTATTGTATGCTGATCGGTTAGGTTCCCATTTTATAAAAAAAAAGCTGAACTCTAGCTCTTTGGGAATGATCTTAAGTAAAAAAAACTAGTTATCTTCAAGAAATCAAGCTTCAGCTCAGTAATCAAATTAAAACAAATTATTCAACCACAGCTACAAGTGAACACTTACAAGATTGAATGTCCAAAAGAAAATGATACAATTTATCTGGAAAACATAATGTGCAGCTTATATCGCAATAAAAAAGGAACAACTGTATTAAATGGTCATGTTGATCTACTACTTCCATTTGACTACGCATTTCTTCATGTTTATTATGTTTTTATGAAAACTAATACAACAGTACAAAACATCAAATTTGAGTGGTGCAGTTCTTATACCAATCTTCCAGCATTTGTTTACATGCTTTTTGAATTTACTAAACAATATACCAACAATTTATTTCATGAATGTCCATATAAGCCTAGAAAAAATATTGGTATACAAAATTGTCCACTTGATGTGAATCCAACACTTTTAAGTGTTTTAAATTATCAACTTGGTGACTATAAGACTGGTGTGATTATTACGGATAAAAATGGCAAATTAATCTTCTTTCTCAATTTGTACGCAACCATTTCACGGAAGAGATTGCAAAAAGGATCTAAAACTAATACCAAGAACTAGATAATAAATAAGATCTGAAATCCTAGCAATTTTTAAGGAAAATAATTCTGTTTGACATTTGGAACTAGGCTAATAGATGGAATAAAATTTTAAGATTTATTTTACTTTTAACCTCCTTTTTGGAAAATGATCTTCAATTATATAGAGTATTTTGAGAAAAATCCCCCCCCCCCCCTCTACCCACCCTTCCCCCCTAGCAAATTCGTTTTGATATAAAATTCCAATTTTCTGATTAACCTCAATTATGAAAAATTTTTAAACAATTTTAATAATTCAACAAAATTATGATAAAATAAAAATTTAAGAGGGAAAATAATTGAAATATTTATTTGAAAACTTGTCCAAGCATTACTAAGTTCTATTCAAAATGAAAACTACATCAATTCTTTATCACTATTTGACTTATATTTCTTTAAACTTTCTTAATTGTAATAGCCAAGGACAAGTATGTAACCTTTAAATTTTTTTTGTAATGTATAATTTGTCATCCTTAATTATTTCACAATTTACAGGCTAGAATAAATGTTTATAAATTTGACTGTCCAAAAGACAATGAAACAGAGTATTTGGAAAATATTGTCTGTAAGCTTGAAAAAAATGCACAAGGAATGACTTTTATTTCAACCTTTGTTGACATTCTGATTCCTGTAAAATATGCTCAGATCCACATCAATGTCATATACCAATCAGACAAATCAATGGTTGACAATCTTTTTGAGTACTGTAGTTCTTACAACAATCTTCCTCCCTATGCCTTTGTGCTGTTTGGAGTTCTTAAACAATTTGCAAAAGATCTGATCAAGCCTTGTCCATACAAACCTATGAAAAGATTAGGAGCAGCAAACTTTCCTGTGGATTCGCTAAATGCTTTTTTTACTATTTTTAATCCTCATCTGGGCAACTATAAGACATCGATTTATATTAAGGATGAAAAGGGGAAATTGATAACTTACTTGATTTTTTATAGTAATATTTCAAGGAGAAGACCTCAACAAAGAGTCAAATTAGGGTAGATTTGAATTCAATGATAGTCAAAAGGAAGAGCCTTTAGTCCTGATTCTTAAACTCACCAGTTCTCGTTTTTCGAAACAAATTAATAAAGGCCCAAAAAATCTTAATTGCTTTTTGCATGACTTGACTCATTAGCAATTAAACTTCATTAAGTTTGATGAGCTGAAGTGGCTCGGTGGTAGAATGGTTTAGTACTTCGGTATCAAATCAATGCAATAACCTACACAACGATCATAGGTTCGAGACTCGGCATGAGAAATTTTTCACTTGTCCTTTTTCGAACCATACGTACTGGAAATGAGGCTCACAGCCTTTCTTTGTAGACTACAGGCAGAAATGTCATCAAAGGAGTGGCTCCGGACTCCTTTATAAATTGAAAGTCTAGGTTTTACTGCTGTGGTTTGGCGCATCCTCATTCGTTAAACTCTCATTAGCTGCAAAACGACCTAGCGCACCTCTGGATCACAATTGATCTGAATAGGTAAAGCTTTTTTTTTAATTGAAGATAATTTAGAAAATAATTGTGGATGTTGCAAAAGCCTTAATTTGAGGCTTTTTAAAATTATACTATCGGACACAGTTGTCGAATTCAACTTCAGAAAAGGATGGACATTTTTAAAATTTCTGGAATTTTAACTTTTCTGATTTTAAATTTTAAAAATTGTAAAGGTCAGGGTCAGGTATGCAGTTTGTCGATTCTTAAAATAATTGAAAAAAGTCACTGACATTTTTATTGAAATTTATAAATTCAAGGTCCAACTGACGCTGTACAAATTTGAGTGTGCAAACTCTAGCGAATCCGAATACATAGAAAATTCTGTGTGTACATTTTACAAAAATTCTAAAGGAATGACGCTCGTCTCCTCATACTCTGATCTTATCCTACCAATCAGATATGCTGACATCAACATAAGTGTCATTTTTCAGTCAGACAAAGTTTTTATTGACAGTCAATTTGAATATTGCAGTTCCTTTAACAATCTTCCTCCATATGCCAGCATCCTTTTTGGAGTTGCCAAGACTTATTCAAACAATCTGGTTCAGCCATGTCCATATGCACCGATGAAGCGAATTGGAATCGAAAACTTTTCAATGGATTTACTTTCAGTTTTCTTTACTGCTTATAAGCTCCAAATTGGAAACTATAGGACATCATTGCAAATTCACGACAAGAAAGGAAAATTAATTAATTATTTAATATTTCACAGCACTGTTTCTAGAAAGAGACCACGAAAGGGAAGTCAGGGTTGATAAATTTGGCGTGGATAATTTGTGGTGTTAAAAATATAAAAATAATAAAATAATTATTTTACTTTGATAGAGTTGTAGATTTAATTGCTATGATGCAGAGGTAGTCAAACTTTGTGACACGATACAGAAGTGAGCAGTAAAGAGTGCATATAACTATTATACATGTTTTCCTTGATAGGCATAAATCTTGTGTTGGAGTACCTCTTGGATAATAAAGGTTGAACACCACTGCATTATTAAAATTTGATAATTGTATTATATTAGATGCATATACAGCAGATAAGGCTATTAAAAATAATTTGTTGATTCCTCCCTTTTTATACCAGATACTGCTTGTTGCTTAAAATCTGTCAATACATATAACCTAAAATTGAACTTTGTTTCAAAAAATAGTTCAAAAATGAAATTTTTCTTAAAATTTCATTTTCGTGTAATATTTTTAATTTCACTTTTATTCAGTACATGCTCATGTCAGGTATGATACTATTCAACATACTAAGGGGCCGTGCACTTATGACGTCCATTCTCGGGTGGGGGTCAGCAAGAAATGAACAATAGTAATTCCAGAAAATCCACTGTTCTTTTTTGAAAAGTGACTGATAATTTTGGACATCATAAGTGAACGACCCCTAATACAAATTAAAAGCAATTCTTTATTTTAGTCAATTTTGCATTTACAAAAGTTTGAATGCACAAAAGACAATGAAAGTAAATATTTCAACAATACAGTTTGTGAATTAAGAGTTCTTAAAAAAGGAAGTTATGGAATTACTGGATATACAGACATCCTAATTCCATTAACATACATATATGTGGACTACAAACTCATCTACACGCCATCAAATAAAATTTTATTCAACTATACATTCGAGTACTGCAGTTCTTACGATCACCTTCCGCCATTCTTCCATATTGTCGTGGAATACATTAAAACTTTTTCAAAAAACTTTATTCATGCATGTCCATATACTCCACAAAAACGATTTGGGCTTGAAAATTTTCCATTTGACGCAAATATTCCAGTTCTGTCAATGATTAACTTCCAACGTGGAGAATATAAATCTTCATTATACAGCAAAGATAAGAAAGGGAACTTAGTTATTTATGTGGACTTCTTGTTTACGATATCACAAAAAAGATCAGCCAAGAAGGGAGGCAGTGGGTGATTCCGGAGTGCCAGATATAAGTTCAGTAAGGGAATGCATCATTTCTCGCTTTATTTATCAATTTCACAAAATGATTGAGGGTTGAGAGATTATAAAGAGGACTTACTTAATTCCAAAAAACAAAATGTTATGAATAACTGCGACAATCATTGTGGTTATTATTTTGTAATGGACATAAATATAATAGAATGAACCCGATTATAGAACAAACGTTTTTACCTATAAATGACCTATTTCATAGTTTCGAAGAAGTTTATTAATTACAGGAAATATGGAAGTTATTTAATAACCTTTACATGCTTCAAATAGCTATCGACACACATTTCAATACGTAATTCAAAGTTAACAAGGTTAAAATGACAGCGTCTCTCGTTTTTGTAAAGTTTGGTGCTGTTCTCGTATTTTTTGGACTCTGGGTATGTTCCAGTGAGGTGAGAAGCAGTGAGAATTTATGCCTCTTTGCAGTTTTGATAGAAAAGTCCTCGAAGCGAGTCTGTCAAGGCTCTGCTGTCATTGATTCATAAATACTATGAGGAACCTTCTTGGAACCTCTTGATGACCTTTCATGGACAGCATTTACAGAATCTTGTCGACGACTTTTCTATTTGTGTCCTTTGAGGCAAGGAGTCAAGGTTTTGGATATCTTCAAAACTTTTTAAATCCGATAATCAAGATCTTGAACCCAAAAACCATTTCCCTTTCTTATTTGGATCCAAATACTAACTTCAAATGCCTGTATTAATTTTCAGTTAAGTTCCCACTTCTATAAAATCGACTGCATTAAGGAAAATGAAACAAAATATCTCAAAAATATAAATTGTGAAGTTATCAAGCTTAGTAAAGGACTTTATGCGTTAACTGTCCTTGCTGATTTAGTTCTCAAAGCTAATCATGTTAATGTCAGTTTAGACATTTACCAAAGACCATCAAATTTAAATTTCTTCAACATGACACTAGAATATTGCAGCTCCTATGGAAATTTGTCACCAATTGTGCGACTTTGTATTGAACTTTTAAGAAATTTTGCAAATAATCTCTTTCATGCTTGTCCATTTATGCCAAGAAAGCGAATTGGAGTAGAAAATATGCCGATGGCACTTGGACTACCATTCATATCCTTATTAAATATTCCACGTGGTGACTATAGAACTGTCATCAGTATTCGCGACCAAAAGAATGAATTTATTTTTTATGTACAACTTTTGGGGACGGTCTCACAAAAGAAAAGTCAAAAAAATGGGTAAAATGGTTCCAATTCATAATGTTTTGAATTAATCAGATGTTCAAATACCCCAAAAACCCTTAACGCTTTCACAATTACTGCCATCATATGTTCCAATAAAAAAATTCAAAATCACGATCAAACTAAATAAAACTTTGTATGACTTACTTATTTTTGCATCGATCAGCTTCCTTGTGCAGCAGTATAAGTAAATTAAATTTATCCGAACATTAATCGCTGATTCAGTTAAAAGAAAAGGAGACCTTCAAGCCATTCAAGCGTTTGAGCATTTTTACGCCACATTTCACATTCGTCCCTCCATTCATGCATGAGAAATTAAATATTCATTTTAAATATCTTCGAGTACGAGTACATATGCAAGGTATGAGAAAGATGAAGATGAAATGCATCGGAACTTGCGGGAATTTTGGGAGATTTTTGGGGGGTATGGTTGCATTGATTTGGGGTAAGTTGAGTTTCAGGATCCATTATGATTTGGTTTCTTGAGCATATTCTTCATTTAATGGAACCTCTTTTCCCTCCCGAATCGCACAAAAAGGTTAATCGAACATAAATCCTGCGCTAAACTGGCATGACTCTGGTTTCGATTTGAATCCAGCACTCTGCAAAGTCACACTGACTTGGTGCCGGATTTCTGATCGATTACCCGACTTGTGCCATTCATGCCAGCTACGAAGAGATAAAATACTCAAAAAATCATCGCAAGGAATCGACGAAACGAGATCGAGGGAACATGTCGAATGAAGTTATTGATAATTAATATTTTAACTGATTTTTATCAAGACATTCGAATCTTTTCGTACGTGTACCTCTTTTATTGTAATTGCGTTGACTTCTCTTGTGTGCCTGCGTCTTCCTGGATGGTAGTTTCTCATTACAATCGTAATAAATTTATCAGTACATCCAATCATGTGTTGAATTTGCTTCTCATTTTTTTTGTGGCTTGATGGTTATTTTCGGTGAGAATCAATTTAGTTTTGGGAGTAAGGATGGGAATGTTTATTGAAAAAATTAGTTTTATGTGAGATGTTGAAAGCAGCTGAGATGACTCTTAGAATGTGCAAGTTAGAAGTGCACTTTTGGGTACAAAGCGCATTTTTAAAATTAAAATAAAAATTTTGACATAGTCATGTGACAAAACTGAGAATGAGCTCTAGAATAAATTTTTAATAGACGTCACTTGTAAATGACTCCAACCTTCAACAACCAAACTTGTTATCCTAAAAATCATCTAACAAAAAAATAATTAACAGACATTCAATGAATGGAAGTCAGCTATCGTTTAATTAAAACCAACAACAAACATTTGAGATAAGTATTCATGTGGAACAGATGAAGCAGCAGCAATATTGAAGACAATTTTTATTTAGTCCAAGACGTCTCATCGTCACTAGATGTTTGTGACCTTCTTCACTTTAAGAAAAAATAAAAACTCATCATCCAATTAACTAACCGAGTTGAAAAATCAAATAAAAAAGATTATTATTTTAAGTTTGAGGCATCTTCGAGTGTACATATTGTGAATTATTTATCTGCTGCTACTTTTGCTGATGATGATCGTTTGTAATTAACGACATGATGACGATGACATTCACGACAGATTTTAAGCAGAGAATAATAAAGGTTTTAAAAGCTGAATTAATATCACAAAATTGAGAATTATTTTTATAGAAGTTGTTTTGTTGTTTATTGAGGAGCTTTAAGTGGAATTTGAATTAGATAATCTGTTACATGGCATTTAGAATTTAATTGTCTCGAATCGTTTTAAATTTTTGACGGAATTTCATAATTGATTTTACATTGAGGAATTATGAGTTCAAGCATGAAGAGGTCAAATAGATGAGAAAATGAGTTCAAAATCAGTCTAGTTTGATGGGATTCGAACTCGCGTTCTGAAGAAAACAGATTATGCAGGCCATTTGGCAACTGAGGTTCCTTCTTGACTTCGGCTGTCCATCATTTATATACAGATAGATATGCTACTACCAGGGGCGTTGCCAGGAATTTGAAGAGGGGGGGGACACATTTTTTTTTTGTATAGATAATTTTAGGAGTGGGGGGAGGGGGTTATTTTTGTGATTTTTTTTAATAAAAACCCTAGCAAAGTAAAGAAATTTCTGTTTACGTTTGGGGATTTGTTCACCAACCACCCCCTCCCCCCCCCCCCCCTGGCTACTACAGTTAATAATGAACCCTTATCCATACCCCATCCTATTTAATAATAGGATTATCACAAAAATCGATGCCTCATCCTTCAATCAAAGTCTCCTAAGCAGATTATTAGTCATGAAATCAAACAATCAAATTTCCCTATCCTCACCTTCATCCATTAACACACATAGGCTTTAAAAAATAATTATAACAAAATAATAATGAGAAGAAGTCCATGGACTTTACAATCAACTTCAATTCCATTGTACGTGTAATAATAACAAGACAATAAAAAAAAAATTCAAAGACTTTATATCGGTCAATCGCAGTCACATAATGTTCGATGATTTTTTGATTGTTTTTTTCTTCCATTTTTCGCTATTTGTTAAAATTAAAATTAACTTGAAATCTTCATTGTTATTTATTTACATAGCTCATTTTCTTCTTCTATGTCTCTATTGAAATTAAATTGAACGAGCACAATAGACAATTTTTTTAACGTATATTATACATATTATTATTATTTTACAACTGAAAGATGTTAACATCTGATGTGATCTCGTGTTTGATTATAATAATAAAATATGAACAAAAATCGATGATGAACGTTGATTAACGTGATGTCTTAATAAAAAGAATTGTTGATATAATTTTATTGAATGTCCAAGGCGTGGGAATTTTATAGACTTTGAGGTTAATAGGAAGAGATTCTGGGAGAATTGAATCATTATAATTTAAAGTTTTTATTAGGGAACACTTGCTAGCGTCGTTAATAAATGACGTCTACGAAAAAGAGAGATACGGTTAATTATTTTACAATTTTGATCGCAGTGCCTATAGCTCATGGCAACATTGTATGACCATAGCTATAGACTATTCGAATTATTATCTCCTTATCGTAAAACTGACCACAAGAGAAAGTGAAAACCCAATAAGGAGTCATTTACTAATGACGTCCATAAAAAACAAACTTTATTGACCCCCCTCCCCCCCATTGTGACGTCCAATCATAGTTTTCGTGATATAAAAAAATTGATCTCTTTTAACAAAATTGGATGTCAAAAAATCCCCCCCTCCCCTGTCACAAAATCCTTGTCCCCCTCCCCCTCAAATCTCATAAGTGAACGATCCCTAACCTTAAACCACAAATCTTAAAATAAAATTCCCAACATCAGAATTTAAATACCAAATTAAAGGTTCATCAAAAGGCACACATGCAGTGCTGAAACGAGCAGTGTAATTGTGCTAATAAGATTAAGTTATTTAAGAAAATAACTGCGCAATTGCTTGAGCAGTAACATCTCAACAGGCGCATATGAATACTCATAAACATTCGAATTAATTCGGAGCTCAAGTGCACAAAAGACACAAGATATGTATTTTTAAGTCTTGCGAACAAGTGGTATGGAAATTTTCGGGGAATCCGCAATAGTTATTGGATTGTATCATCGATTTTTGAGTTGAATTTGACGATAATTGTTGTTTTAATGGAGATGGACTGCTTGTGGATATGGAATTACGTAATAAGTTTTGGGATTTTTGGACAACATTATCCTTGCTTTATTCATTTGTTTGTTAAAATTATTAGTCAGTCCGAGAGTAGGGTTGAAATTTAATTTTTGAGGCTATATCCTTGTAATATATGTATGATGAACAGCTGAATTTTGACACGTAAATCTGTGACCACGTGGTGGAGCTTATAACATATCTAAGATCACTTATCGTAAGTTAGTTCGATTCTCATCAAATCCATATAAATATGATCTTTAATTTTCGTTAAATTCCAAAAATAAAACACGTAAGACATTATATGCTCTGTTATACAATTCAAGCACAATCTCTCACTTAACAAGAGACTATTGAACCAATCATTAAACCTGTCAAACTTCCACTTTGTCAACATTTCTTTGTAAACATTTCAGGTCACTCAATGCCATTATCATCTTGTCAAAACAATAAATGCTGACAAATTCAAGATCAAGTCACTAAAATCCATCCACGTCATCAAAACTAAACTCAATTTCGATCAAGGATCTTTTTCAAAGAATCATATTTAATTTGCTGACAATTTGAGTGAAACTTACAACTTAATAGCCTGAACGCGCGATGTCTTCATACAGTATAAATGCGCAACTCATTGAGCTATTTTTATCGCACGTGCTTAAATGCGCGTCACTAGTCGCAATCATCACATCAAACTTTAAATGAGCCTTACAATAAAGGAGAAACTAACAAGATATTAAATTTCAAATTATCTCTCGGAAATTTAAATAATAAACTAAATGAGTAGTTTTATTGCACTCAAATTAGGTTGTCATCCCTAGACGCATAAGAATTGAGCTTTAAAAACTTTTTTTTTATTTTTGCTATAAATTATTTCAGTCAATATTTTACTCTCAATTGGATAATTTTTACAATTTTTAATTTTATTACATCTTAATTAAATTAATAGGATATCTGCTGTGATGTTCCTTTACATCGCGGCACATTAATTAGGACACTTCACAGTCGATGAATACGATTTGTTTTAATGGATGTGTGGATTTTTGATGAGGAGGGAAAAATAGTAGAATGTGGAGTGATTAAATTGCATTTTGGGCTAGTCTGTAAGTTGTTGGAACTCGAAGCTAACACTATGTTTGAAAGCTACTCAAAACAAAGCTACTAAGTGCACTTAATGTTTAAAACGTGATTTTTTATGACAGAAGTGCAATATTCAATTCACAAATTGAGATTTGAACCTTTGAAATTAGAATTAAATTTCAGAACTTTAAAAACAACAAATTTTCTGAAATTCCAACAATGTCCTTTTATAAAAAAAACACTAATTTGCGCCCTAATCCACC